AGGCGGAAATGACTGCCACCCTCTCTAAATGTTAATCTCACTTTCATCAAATCAATGTCACCACACAAAACAGGAGCAGCATTCGCATACGCTTTGTCCAAATATTCATACGGGCACTCAAGGTCAGCGTGTACACGTCAATTCAGTTTGACAAAGCGCTGACATGGACATTAGATAGTTAATGGCAACCAAGAGGATATTGAATTTAAATGAAAATGGTTGAATTTTTATTATTATTGTGATTATTTTAAAAAGGAGCGTTGAATGCGTCTTCACCTCACTGTGAACCTCTGTGCACAAATACACATATAAACACACACCTTGCTCTGCCTTATTCAGTTTCAGCATGGCTGCCTGACAGGTGTGAAAGATTCCTCTCCTTGTAGCACCACGGTTATTATTCTGCTGCACCAGGAGCTGCCACCCCCTTCACATCCAGTCCCTCTACTAAAATCTAGCCTGTTTCTCTGATAAGGCTGTTTCCATGAGAAACTACTGGAGGCTGCCGGCCTGATACGCAATGCTTCAGCACACATCACAACATGCCTAATACTGTGTACCGCAATATTAAAACTACCTACCTAATATAAGTCCTCGTGGTGGCCCCCCCCAGCTTTGGACTTTTGTTCAGGTGCTTTCAAAGGATGTTTGGTCTGATTGAGGTCTGGGGAATTTGGACACTGGGTGGACATTTGCACTTATCCCTTGTAGCTGGTGCCAAAATGTGTCAAAACAACATGTTTAATGTTAGATTTATGGTCCCAGACTGGTATCTATTTGCTCTTTGGCCATGCAGAAGGAAGCATTAATGGTATTATTGCAACCACAGCAGACATGCTAGCATGCGGTACTTCAAAAAAAACAAAACAAGAGTGCTGAGCCAGCGGTTGTGTCGCTTTTCATAGATAAAACACTTATTGGTTGACAAAGAAACAGGAAAGGAAGAAATAGTTCAGTTCACCACAAATACACCGAAGACGAAGAAGAAAAAAGAAAACAAAGGTCAAAAACATGAAAAAGCAGGATAGCTGCAATGGAACATTTTCATTGTTTTTAACACTTAGTTT